TCGCGACACCTGTGATTCTTACTGTCGGAGTTGTGGTATGCAATATCTGTCTGGTTGAACCCATTTCTCAGATTGCGAAAATAAGCTCTTCTTCTGATACCTCTTAGTTCTTTCCTATTGCTTGTGTTTATTTGCTGAGCGCCTTTCTTGCATATCTCGGTTATCTCGGAATCCGGAGTATTATCTCGATCCTGGAAGGCCCCGGAATAGTCCAAGGTAAATTTATAGCCGATTACCGGGTCTGTGTAAATATAAATCGTCTGACCAATTCACCAATTCCCTAAAAAATTCTTACCTTACGAAAATGTCTAAAGCAAAAATAGATCTTGCTAACTTGGATTTCAGCCGTACCTACTCATTTGAAGAGTTCGAGTTAATTAATGAACAGCTCAAAACACGCACCTTAGAAGTAAACGGGCAACCAGTCAATTTATTTGACCTCGACAAAAACGGAAAGCTTGTTCCAATGCCACAGGCCACTCACTGCATGGAGGTTACTGTTTCAACAATCGTGGGGGAACTTTATAACTGGAATGTTCAAACTCGACAGAACGGGCTCATAACAACATCACAGGGAGGGTTTAATTTCAGTGTTGGAGGCCAAATAACGATCAGAGCTCCTGATGTCTCCTTCACACCCAAAGCAGTATCTCGCCGATTGACTGAATTACAACGTTGGACTTTCCAGGGTCAACCATTCACTCCCACGTTCATTGTCGAGGTTGGAGATACCCAAAGTAGTACATCGGCGTTCGGGGAGTTAGATAACAAATTTAAGCGCGAATACTTTGCAGATGGAACATCTGTACAACTCGGTTGGTTGATTGATCCTAAAAATAGAAGAATCTGGGTATACAAGCGGAATCAATATGGTAATGTCTTTCGTCGTGCGCGCGCATGGGAAGATGTAGAGGGTGGTGATATTTTACCGGGGTTCACATTGAAGGTGTGGAAGATTGATGAAGCAATTTCACAGGTGCGTCATCGCCATTACTTCTATGTATCAATGTTTTACCACTCATGTTTTTTGATCACAGGAATCTTCCGAAACATCATCAGAGAATGAAGAATTGCAAATTAATTGCCCTGAATGTGACGCAACTTTCTCTGATCATTACACTTTTACGCAACATTACGAAGATAGGCATGCTCGTAAACGGCGTAGAACAGAGTAGAGCTTTAGTGTTTTTTTCTATTGAATTATGTCAAGTGCACTCGGATTGATAAATTTATGTCTTACAATACTACATATAAAAAAAGTACCAACTGTAATTGAGCAGTCACGGTCGAGTTACATCATTATCATGTGATCGTCACATTTTACCCGAATAAAAAATGATTTCTTTATTATGAATAAAGCGTAAACGAGGTGTGACTAGATACTGTACATATGAATTTTTTCGTCTGATCTAACCCGTCTCTTCTGTGAGATTACTCGATGATCTATGCTTTTTTAATGCCCTCGATTGTTCTCCGTCATGTGAAATTTCCAACAGCTTCTGTGCCTCCTCTAACAACTAAGCAATGTAACTTAAGACCCTTTCAACCATACCTTCCATTTTCTCATTATCATACACAACAACTACCGACTTTGATAGTTTGAATCTTGGTCTTTCCAACTCATCGAGCGAACATTCCATAAAATACCATTTTTTCGCATCTGTGACGATCCCAAACATCTTACCACAAACATGCCTTCTTACTTTATCTCACTTACAATTCAATAAAACTTATTCTGAGCAATATCATTAAAAAATAATCATCCTTTACTTCTGTCACGACAACAGTTCTTGCAGTTTTGAGAAGTCTATTGTGAAATCGACTGGTCATGTCCATTGGGTCCTGTGATATTTTTTTATGATCAAAGTTCAAACTTACCTTCGTATAGGTTTGCACTAGCAACCAAGTATGAACACATGTATTGTGATTTCGATGCTTGATTGGAATGGTCTTGAGATGGGCCTCTAGTTTGGCTTTAAGATGTTTAAGTATTGCCTGGGAAGATTCGTCTTTCAGATTCTTGTACTCACAAGAAAAAGGTAGGAATACTGATAATAATGGATCATCTAATTCGGCAAGTCCATAAAGCTGACATACCTTTGAGAATGATCAATCTGAGAAGGCTTTCGATAGTATTTCTATGGATACCATAAACTTGAGATTATTCTTTGTTACAAATATTCGGAGCATCTCACGAAAGTCTTGGTTGTTAAGAATAAAGCGTTTTCTACTATCATTTAACATGTTAAGTTCTGCCCTATCATTTTAAAGTGCGGGTGGTTGATACATCTTACGTACAGTATATAATCTTTGAGGCCTTCGAGAGTTATATAAAAGAAGCGTCGGAAGGGAGGTAAGTAATCGGTAAGGGGTACAGTATATATACCTCAATCATTGTGATTAGCTGAAATGCCAATACACATATTGCATTATCACAGTTGTTATACTTTATATTTCGCGGTTAATCGGATGATATACGTGTCATTATTTCTTTATCCGTTACAATTTATCCTTTTATAAGTGTCATTATTTCTTTATCTGTTACAATTTAACCTTTTGTATGTGTCATTATTCCTTTATCCTTCGCAATTTCATCCCCTTTAGTATTTCAATCATTTTTCGAATAGAAAAAAAAAACGAATACCGTAAGTATAAATATAACAGAATTTTTTCAAAATTGACTTCTACTCCTTAAGCGAGAAATCCTATATCTACTGCTTTATAAAAACAAGTCTTTCATTATAATGGCGTTAGTAAAAAAAAAAAGGGAAAGACGAATTTGTAAAATACAAAAATAATGATAAAGATTACAAATGGATTCTTAATAATAATTGTAAAGCGCATGGAACTTCATGTGGAGGGTCTACTTCCGAAAGAGTTACAGCAAGCTTTTTCGAAATTGATGTTAATAAAGTTGATGAGTTCTGTGAAGATTATTTTGGTTGTTATGACGATGAACCAAAAAAAATCTTACGAGTGCGCTCAAAGCTTTGATGAAAAGCAACAAATTCGGTCATGTGGATAGTTATATACAGTAAATATTAAGTGCGGAGAGGAGAACCTATCACTGGAGGATATTACTACATGTACGCTGATGATAATCCTAATGATGGAAAACGTACATTTTTTTTCGCGATGGCTCAAATTACTAAGGACCCTGGTCACAACCATTATTTTTTGGAAGATTACTATCAAGGAAATCGTATTCGCGTTGTAAACGCACTAAAGTATATGTTGTACGAAGAATCAAAAAGCAATGGTCTTATAGAGGGTTAATTTTTTCAAAATTTACTATTTTCATTCTCATATATTTTAAGGTTGTTACTATACCTAGAATATATTCCGTTCATAGCAGATACTATAATAGGTTTTTAATTCTTAGATCATATAACAGCTTATTGATTTTTTATTTTTCTAATGCATAACTCTATATTTGCGAATATGCATGAATTACACACGGTTTTAAAAATAAAAAATCAATCGAAACTATGTATTATATTATTATACAACGGCTAAGTAAAAATTAATGCAAAGAAAACGATAGAAGCGGAATTTAAAGGGAGGAATAAAGCATAAATGCCTGCCGGCCCCTAGACCCTTCGCAAAGCGAAAATGGAAGTTCCTTTCCCGCTACTCCGCATTACTATTAACTGTTTTGCTATCGATCCAAGCACCTATTTTGTTTAAATTACTACTTTTTAGATTCATGGATTAACCACTTTGTGACTGTGAATGAAAGTAATACAACAACAAAACCACGTAACTGTTCATTTGATTTAGTATAGACCTCTTATCTTTTAGAAAAAGTATATTTACTTCGCAAAAAAAGCTCTGCTCCGATACAAATCCCAAAATAGAAAATTTATATAGACAATGAATAATCTTTACCGTTGATCTATACTCGTGTTGTTACCCCAAATTGTTTGATACCCATATCGGATTTGACAATGTACCCATGTAATAATAGTTAAATGTTGATGTTGACAAAAGGTCTTTATTAGTACAAATAAAAATAGCATGGCTATTACCATATACATGTGGCGAAAAACCTACCCATTATTTTGTAAATTTTTTAATCCTGACCCTCTTACTGGTTGGAGAATTAATGATTCTTTCAATAGGCCAACGATAATCCCAATTACCTTTTTCATATTGCTTCAGAGAACATCAAGATTTTCTTTAATATTTCAAGATTCCCCTCTCCATTATACAAAGAAGATCCTCAACGCTCTTGATTGTGTAATACAGATGATACTGTATATGGAAGAAACTATTATAAAAATATATAGAAATTTCCCAAATCTTCAAAATAAAAAAAAAAAAAAAGCAATCAAATTTTTCGATATGATGTCCCAAAAGGTAAGAAAATTTTTCAATGCCACGACCCAAAAAGTACGATTAATTTTTTAGTGATATTCAAAAGTAATCAAAAATTGTAAATATGTAGGAACAATGTCTAGAAGCTGAAAATTCGTTCATTTAAGGTGACCCACTCAAGCAGAATAATATATAGAAAAGAAAAATAAAAAGTTATACTCGAGTGGGTCACCAAGTAGGGATAACAATTTGGCACTATGTGCCTCATTCTCTAGCGATCATATAAAAATCACGAATACTATTTCGGCACTATGTGCCTTAAGCTTGATTGGTATTTGGCCATGATTACCAAACTAGAATATATTATCTCATATATGAATCAATGACAGAAATCGATCAAACCAGGATATGATAGTTCACATGTGACCTAATGATGGAAATCGGTCATGGTTATCAACCCGCTGTATATTATGTCGTATGTAGGTCAACGGTCATAATAATTATTCAAGCGACATTAGAAATTAGCCACTATAGTCAACCAAGCAATCAATTGTAAGCATGTGGCCTAACAACAGAAATCAGTCATGGTTATTAATCTGCTATATATTATGTCACACGTAATTCAATGACGGAAATTAGTCATGGTCACCAACTCGATATACAAATATCGATATCGAATTCGGATTACTAAAAAATTGTAGAGAGAAGCAATGTCACTCGTCATAACCAAGTTCAATTATTCCCTTACAGTGAAAATCATTCAGGAACACTAAGCCAATATACGAAATATAACTGAGTGGTTAAAACATCATCGGTATCAAATTTAACTTCCTAAAGGGTATACAAACCATCTATAACAAAAATTAACCACTGTTGTCATGTGGCCTGACAATAAAAATCGGCCACCATCATCATATGGTCTGATAACAAAAATTGGTTACAGTCATCATGTGGTCTGACAACAAAAATTGGTCACAGTTGTTATGTAGTCTGAACAAAAATTAGTCACCATTATCATGTGGCTTAACTACAGAAATTAGTCACCATTGTTATGTAACTTAACTATAGAAATTGGCCACCATTGTCATGTGGCTTATTTTTCTTTTTTGGTCGCATAGGAGAGTGGTCAATTTTTCTTTTTTAGCCACATAGTCTAATTAGGAATAACCTAAGCCAAGTGGCCACAACATAATTATATTGTGACCACTTCCCGATCTAATTTTCAAGTAGGTACAGATTGTTATATTCTTCCCTTCTTAAAAGTAAAACATTCACATCTCTTCAAATTCTTTGATTCTTTTTTGAGCATTGATTAAGTTCTCCTATAGTTTCCATATTGTATCATATAATAGATATCCATTCCATTTTATCAAATATTAAGTTTTCCTTCAAATAATTCCTTTGTCTAGGATAATATTCATTTTATACTTTTCCTACTTAGCATCAGGTAAAACAAGTACAAGGAATAAAATATATAGAATAAAATTTTCTAAAGAGATCTAATATAACTTCAGTAAAAAGACATGAAAGACAAAATAAATATTTATTTGACTAGTAACTTTGATTTATATGTAATTAAAAAAATAACTTATAAAATAATATAAGATCCAGAAAATCTTGGAATCAATTTCTTAAAAAGTTAATTTCAATCTATAGTGAAGTTGATATTTTTTATATTAAGAAAACTTGTTTTATTTCTTCAAATATTAAGTGACAACAATATTTATTAATTTGTTCTGTCTATCATTCTTTTGCTTCCTTCAGTATATCTTTGACTAGTTCTATTATAACATTTCAATGATAAAAAAAATTGTTTGTAGCTGATACTTTTGTTTCTGATATCATAATAAGTGATAGGTTCAGGTATTATTTGCAATCCAGTTTAAAGAATATAAATTCAATAGAAACTTGTTTAATATTATTATATGTAAATTCAGCAATTGATAAATATTTATCTTATCAATCATGTTTATAGGTGATATAGATATAAAGCATTTTTTCTAAAGTTCTATTTATTCTCTCAGTTTTATCATTAGTTTGAGGATAAAAAGCAGTAAATATTATAGTTTGAGTTTCCATATACTTGAAGAATGCTTACCAAAAGTATTTAATAAACTTTATATCTTGATCAGAAACAATAGTCCAATATAATTTATGATTTCTAAAAATAATAATAAAGAAAATCTTGACAACTTTGAAAGTAGTGGTAAAAGTGTGCATTGGAACAAAGTATGTTCACTTAGTTAAACAGTTAACAAATATAACAATGGCATTATATCATTGTTGAGTCAGAAATAATTATATGATAAAGTTTATAATTACTTCTTTCTATCTTCATATTAAAGTATTTAATAGTTGTAGCAATCCAATAAACTATTGATTGCTTGCTTCAGTTCATTAACAAGTATTATAAAAACAATATATTTTGAATGACTTTTTTTATCAAACCAATAAATGTATTTTATAATTGCTTTAATTGTCTTATCAATTTTCAGATATCAATAGTTTCAATGTCACAGTGTTTTTATAAGATATAGATTCAGAGTTTCTTGTCATTTAAAATAGTCAATCGGTATTTGTCTTATAAATAGATATATTCATTTCTTCAAGTATAATGTTTCGCTTATTTTCTAGTTTCTTATCTACTTGCTCAAGGTTCTGAAGAGTCATGAAAATTAATATAAAATATGGATTATATTAATAAATTTATAGTAGTGTCTGATTATTTGTTAAACAGGTTATCAAAATGAAAATAGTTGTTAGATGAGATTGTTTAGACATAGTGTTGACAGCAAAATTTATTTTTCTTGGTCCATATTTTATCACAAAGTTATATGTTTACAAAGTCTCTAATCATTAGACTTGTTTTTGAGAAAGGTTATGTTGTATTTTGATATACTTCAGAAAGATATTGTTAGTAATTATAATAAAATATTATTCTTCCAAATATATGTGTCAAGTTCTAATAGTATGAACAATGATTAACAATTTCTTCTTATATATGATATAGTTTTGTTCAACTGATAATAACTTTTTTTATTTATATATTACAAGTTGTTTTTCTTTTCTTTGGTCTTGTATTAGAATGATTTCAATAGTGGTCACTATAAAGAACTTGGTTAGATTTGACAAGACTAGTATAGAAGTAGTAATCAACTTTTTCTTGAGCTTTTAAAATACTTCTTATACAATATTAGTCTATTTAAAAGAGATATCCTTATATCAGAGGGTAGTAAGAAATGTGACAATAGTAGAGAATCCTTTGACAAATTTTCAATAGTAACTGGCTAATTCCAAGAATGTTTGGACTTCAGTAATATTTGAGGAGGTAGGCAGGTTTAAATGGTTTTAACTTTTCTTGAATCAATAAAGATCACTTGTTCAAGAATGAAATATCTTGTGTATTCAACTCATTTCTATATTAGTTTATACTTTTTTATCTTAATATATAATTTATACCTTTGAAAAGTAATTAAGATAGTTCAGATATATTTTAAGTATTCTTTTTTAATTCAGTTATAAATAAAAATATTATTCAAATATATAATAATAAACTTATTCAGATATTTTTGAAATATATTATTTATTAGTGTCATAAAAGTGGCAGAAGCATTAATTAATTCAAAAGAGAGAACATGAAATTTAAAATATACATATCTTGTTTGAAAAATAGTTTTGTGAATATTAGTATCCTTAATTCTGATTTGATAATATTTAGAGTAAAGATCAATTTTTGAAAAATAATATATACTAGTTAATTGATTCATTAACTTTTCAATATAAGGCAATAGGTATCAATTCTTGATGGTACTTTTGTTAAAGGCACAATGGTCCATATAAAGTTTTAGAGTTCCTTTTTTTTTATAGACAAAAAGTATAAGTACATCAAATAAAGAAATACTTGGTTGAATGAATTCTTTGACAGTCAGATTAGAAAGTTGTTTCTTTAGTTCATTTATTTCCAAGTATTATATTCAATAAGTTGATCTTGATAGTAATTTTGATCCAGGTATTAATTCAATAACATGATCAATACTTTATTGAAGTGGCAGTTCATTAGACAGTTCATTAGAAAATATATCAAATAAATTCTTGAATTAGAAAAAGATTTCTTAATACTAGTATTAACAGTAATAGTGCTATTAAAGATCAAAGAAGTCAGAAAAGTTCAAGATTTTTGCTATAGTCATGTGATATATGATTGTGATATAATTGAAGCTTATATGAAACAATCAATTGTCAACTATCACTATATCCCTTACAAGACAGAATAATACATGAACAATCTATTCATATCAAAAAAATAAAAAACTATGAGTTGATATAATAGAAAATTAGCTGAACACGAAGTAATTTATGCATGACATAATACTAGAATAGCTATGGTGATTATGTAATAGCTCTATATATAAAAAGGTATAAATGTAACTTCTTTCAATGACTTAATAAAATGATGAATCTTTTGAATAGATTTTATAACAGTAAGATTATAAGTAGTTTAGAGAAAACTATCTTGAAACTTGTTCAAATCTTATTATGCCTCTATCTTTGTTTTGTGTAATAAAAGGATAAACTTTTATTTCTACAGGTTATGTGAACTTTTGATTATTAGTAATAGACTTGCCAATCAGTCTGCTATAATACACAGTTCATATTAAAAAGTTAGAATATGGCTTCTTTAATTAATATAGAAATTAGCATGATATAATTAGGGCTTTTCAAATATGGTATCATATAATTGCAAGTCGAGGGGCTAGATATCTATTGTATTCTAGAGATTCAGTAGTCATCAAGTTCAAGTTTCTAGATATAAATCTTCTGGATCACATCTTTTTTTTTTTCATTAGCAAGTTCTATGATAAGTGGTACAGTGATAGTTTTTGACAGGTAGTTTTATTTAAAAAACTTCTTATCTACA